TAACTTCTTCAATTATTTCAAACTTTGCCGGAGGCTCTGTCTGAAAAAGGTAACGAAAACAGCCAATCAGAGTGCAGCATAACGCTTCATAGGGGGAAGCGTTTCTAGCCGACCTCATAACCTGAAGAATATTCGTAGTATGCTGTCGAAATTTCACGATCAACCTCGAAAGTTTCATTATCATAATCTTTATTTTTGTATCATTATAGCACTCACCGCGAAAAAAAAACTATCATTGTTACAAACTCTTTCCACGCTGGACAATGGCATTGATTCAGGATATTTTGAGGAACCAAAATTGCTTCAGTTTATCGAATGTTGTGTATTTTAAAAATTAATCAATGGTCTTGATTTACTAGATCCCCCCTCCAAATTTAAAGAATCAGATTACATTCGTGTCGACCAACTCGAGGACAAACTATACACAAACAGAACAACTGCTCATGTGACTTGGAGCACTGAAATCTGGGAAAAGAAACCTGCGTATTTTAAGTAAGTCGACTTTAGCGTACACTGTATTGAAAAATATATTTTTTCTCAGGTATGTTTCCTGAAATACATAAACAAGTGTAATAAGTGTGAACAAGTATGCCAGCTCTGTAATTATCTGTAGTTATATGGACAATGGTGTTCTTTAGATAACCAAACGTTGGCTATTTTAATGAGTTTGTTTCTCAGTGTTAAGGCAGGTAGGTAATCCGCAGAAATACGCCATGCACGTGCACCAATAAAAATTCAGAACAACTCATTTGATGCTCTCTTAGCTGATAAGTTTACAGTACATGCAAGAGAATGGAGATCTTTGAAATGAAGCTCGTTCGAAATATATTAGACTTTGAAAAAACAATTTACACAATGTTTCGATTTCGCCTTTAAATCGTCTCAATTGATTACACACAGGAGAAATCAAATACCGTCCCTAAACTTACAAAAGATTCCACCACTAATAGTAATTTAATACTGTGAATAATTGAGGACTGTTTCTTTCCTCTTTCTTTTTATTGACTACATGATTGCTTACTTCTTTTAGGATTTTTTTGTTAGAATGTCTCCCACACTGCTCTCCAATAACAGGACATCATAGAGACATTGTCAATGCAAGCTTAAACGGAACGGTAAGATAAGCAACACCCAATTGCAAACAAAACCATTGTTTGATATATTACACATTCACACTTATTTAAACTTTGGCGGAGGAGTCACTAAGTTATTTTATATTTCGTTCGAAATCCATGAACTTTTTTCTTTAATTTTTATTTTTCTTCGATTTTTCCCCTCCGTTTCAACGATTACAAACCGTTTTAATGATTATAACAAAGAGGGAAAACGTAGAAAGAAAAACATGTAACCAAGCTTATTAGACGCCCTTCTAGTGAAATTCCTTTTCCCCATAAATTAAAACAAAACAGTACTTGTATAAGAGAGGAAAAGGGGAATCATACTATAAACAGCAGACAGTAGATAGAACCAGGTCAAAGTAAGGCAGTAATTAATATAATACTGAGAAATGCAACTCATGAAAAGCACGCTCTATAGGATTTTGGTGCTGCAAGTGGCGTAATCATGTTGCTCGGATACAAAAGACATTGCAAAATGAGTTCTATGATTTAGGTGAGATCTATGATAGGTTTTATTTTCATTTTTCTTCAGAATAACACGTACAATTTCTCGTACTTCAACTTGACCAACGGCGTAGAATATCGTGCTCTTGTAAGTATTACCGTGACACTTTTGCGTCTCTATTTTTCTGCCTTGGAATGAAACCCTGGTGAGTGGGGAATCTGATGAGGGTTACTGAGTGGTACTTCATTATGATATGTAAGTTGGTTCTAAGTTAACTTCTGTTGATAAAACCCTAATGAGTCAACACCAATCATTGTTGTCTAAATGGGCTCAACAGTTAGCCTTAAAAGATAGAAAAATTTAGCTGTTGAGCGTCAAATTGGAAAAATTTAATCGTGAGTCGTAAAAAAAGTTAACCGTAAACCTTTTCCTGTCGAAGAGAGCGAAAGAAAGTAACCGTCAGCCGTGAATTGGCCCAAAATTTTAGCCGTTAGCCCGTAAAAGCCATCATTTCATTGAGAACCTCAATTATATTTGTTTCTTTGTCCACTGTTTAGGTTTATGCATTTGACAGTAGTGGCTGCCGGTTCGAAACAGTAGCAGGGAAAAAATTCCGTGGTAAAGTTAAACGCTAAAATATCTTTGTATGTTTGCCTTCCTCCATAAGAAACCGGTCGATATTTAGTGCCTGGGATGGGGGGAGGTTGGGAGGTTGGAGGTTTTTGATTGTTTCGTGACAAAATGTCCCTGATTCCCCCCCACCCTCCCTTTTAGGGTTCTGTTATGTTCTTATGAACCCCCCCCCCCCCTTAGTGGGGGGGGCAGTCAATTTCCAAAAGTCGCCCCCTTCATACTCTGTTAGCAATGACTGATCCCCTTCGGTTCCTCCCGAAAACCATGTGATCCTCCCCCCAACTCAAATTCTTCAAACCACACCGCCACCACCACCCCCTCACACCACCATGCGATTACTAATGAACTCTTCCTGAGACCCAGCTATTTCTCTATACACCGTCTCTCTCCTTCCTTTTTCTCTTTTCTTTCTAAGTAGTCTGCAATATCGACTCGACCAGCATACAGCTATAAACCTGATTCAGAAATGGCAAAATCTGTAGTGGGGGCCTCAAGCGCCGAAAGATTACCTTTAACCTTTTGACTACCTTGAGTGACTAAGACAGAATTTCTCCTTAGAATGTCAACACAGAATCAATCAGACTTTTGAGGAGAATTAAGAAGAAAATTCAATAAGGGGACTACAAGTTGATCTAATACCAAATTCTCCAAATTGAGATCATACGTATTTTATGGCAGACAGTAGGGAGAATTACCAATGAGATCTTGGGAGTTAAAGGGTTAGAAATGAGGTAATGTTCGCTATTGTATGGTTAGCCTGATAGCAGGCTCTCTGGCACTGCGGAGACGAGCTGGCAGATTTCTTGAAGCTTCGATCGCACGACAGCACAAATGAGAGCCTGAGGGTATAAACTACAAGCTAAGCGTGCAAATTCTTCTGAAATAAATATCTCGTCTTAACGTGCAGCTGTTATACCGACAATGGCTCCAACGACGGAGGCGACCACAAAGCCCACGACAAGCGCCACCCCCACGACAAGTGCCACTCCTACGACAAGCGCCACCCCCACGATTGAGAGTACAGAAGAAGGTAAGTCTTTACCATTTTGATTAAAGCATTTGAAGCACTGAGTTATGAAAGTGCCATAATAAATGCATCTTATAGATTAAATATGGACTCTTAAACTTGATTGAAAAACTACAGATTCAACTGTATTGCTGATCTCTGTTTGTAAACCCAGACCCCTAGTTACTCCTTACTCAGCTAAAAACTTGATCAAGCTTTCATGACGAACAGGATCAGCTCTGTTTACATAGCGTCGATATTTAAACTAAAAATATCCATGCCAACGTAAAACTTTTAGCCAATTACACAAAAAAAAAGTTTCACTTCATAACTTTTGACAATGCGATGATTGGTTTTTTTTCTAAATATTTCTCCGTACAGTCTCCACAACTGCAGCACAAAAAACGTCTCCAGGAACAGTAGCTGCCATCACGGTGCCTATCATCCTTTTAGCGGTGGTGGTATTATTACTTGCGATGTTTTGCTTCTACCGTAAAAATAAGAAACCCTTCAAGGAGCATATGGGACTACGACGCCTCGCGAGTCCCTCCGACGACGGAGTCAGTCCACGAAGGAATGTTGGCGATGTTCCGTCAAGTCCGTATGATAACGGCAGGTGAAATAAAAGATACTTTTCAGCTCTTTTCATCTTAAAAATGAGAGAGCTTAGAATTGTTTTCATGGATGTTTGGATCGCTCTTCTATGGAAGGAGAAATGACTGGAGGCTAATAATGCCATTTAATTGTCAATCCTTCACTCCCATCAATGACCAAGGCAGAATTTTTCAAGCGGAAAAGTGATAAAAATAACGAAAAACAAGGGAATAACCAGTTGATCAAATACCAAATTCTCCGCTGTAAATAAAAAGGATTGTTTGGCAGACAGTAAGGAGAATTACTAATAGGATCTTGGGAGTGAAAGGATTTAGTGGTCTTGCGTATATCACAACAGAATGAACGATTCGGATAACGGCTGGTAGATGCTTGTATTGAAGAAAAAAATATGACTGATCTTTATTTGTATGCTTAAATACATTTTTAATTAACTTAAAATGAGACCTCTGGATTATTATTTTAGTTTCGACCCTGTTGTCAATTTACCATCTAAGTCCGAGGGAGGACTGGAATTGAACCCAGCCTACGTGGAGCAGCGCATTCAAGAAGCGGTGGAGACTGGTGAGGCGGACGAGTTTGAGTTTGGTTTTCATCGGTTGGAGCTTAAACGTGTCCTTGGTAAAGGAGCCTTTGGAAAAGTTTTCCTAGCGGAAGCGTATGGCATTGGAGGAAGTGAAAACACAAGTGTGGTCGCCGTCAAAGTACTTAACGGTTAGTCAAAGTAGAACGGTTTTACTTATGATCAGTGAAAAATATAATATATTCAACCGAGAAACGATGCAATGTACTTATAGTTTGACCAGAGCTGAGATTAAGTCCACGATCACTAAAATACCAGTGCATCATTACAATTGAGACCAAGAAAAACTCATGAAAACAAAAACAAAAGAAAGTCCTTTACTATTTCATACAAATTTCTTACGTAAAACACCAACACTTATTTTGTTGTGTTCCTTTTTTTTTACCTGCTTTTTTTTGTCTCCTTCAACAGACAAAGCTAATGAAGATGAAGTGGAGGATTTTAAGATGGAAATCAACTTTATGAAGACGATTGGTCATCATGAAAACGTAGTAACTATGTTAGGATGCTGCACTCTTTACCCTCCTTTGTGTCTCGTGGTTGAATGTGTTCCACATGGGGATCTGCTACATTATTTGAGAGACCTCAGAAAAACGGTAACCAGAACTTGAATCAGCCATTTTCTTGAAACAAAAAGTACAGCAACGAAAAAAGAATATGTACTTTTTTAAGTCTTTTGTCGATCGACAGTCAGCGAGATATAGGAGGTCTTTTGGCCATGTAATAAACCTCAATTGACCATCTCTTCTCGGTCAAGTTGGTTCATATTTATTGGTCTTGATATTCCCCTTTTGACAACTTTGACTCGTTAGGTTTCATGGGCTATACCGCAATATACAAGACGCAGAAAATTCTCATTCCTTTATTAACCACGCCTGATCGGTCAAGACGGATGGATATCGGCCTTGTATTTTTTTCAGTTTCTTTTCACTTACCCCTGACTTTTAGAAGGACGTCAGGCATGTGATTTCTAGTGAGAAAGAATAAAATGCCCCTTGACTAACCTACGACAGCTCACATTATTTACAACTGCAGCTGTTGCCGTCTTATTGTGAGATACTTCTTTGTTCTCTTTTGATAAGTTTATTCCAATTTTTAGTTTGAGCAACAGTATCGAAAGCTACAAGGAGATAATGGAAAAGGTCTCAAAAACGAAGAGAAACTAAGCACGTCACAAACTTCCCCGAACAGTTCAGAGTCCACCGCAGGCAGCTACTCCCATCGTCCCCTGATACCTTCAGCTAGTGACACGGTAAGTCCTGGGCACCACTGTTTACTGTCAACTGCAAAACCCAGCAAGCTTTGATTTAATGTACTCGAACTAGTTCACCTGCTCAGATCCAAACGTCTCAAATATATCTCATGGCACTTACCACAGGAAATAAATTTTGTCGTTGTGCCTAAGCGCATGTGTTAATTGATGAATTAAAATATTTAACACGCCAACTTCCATTCAAAGCAATGATTGGATTTGTTCGTAGAATGCTGTAAAACAACATCCACCTGAAACCTGTGGTAAAGGATAGCAATGTTTTATGACCATAAAATGTTATTAATTTAAACTTTTCATAACCTCATAGCAACACTTAACTTGAGACTGACAACTTACATATTTCTTCTGGACTGCGACATTTAAGTTTAAACTACGAGTAAAATAAGCATTTTAATAATGTCGTTTCCAGGCCATTTCGGCTTTAGAGTTGGCAGCGTCCCAACTCGAGTTCAATCAAACATCACAGCCACAAGACAACCAACCATGTTCATCCAAGTCAAATATTCATCGTCCGCCTCTTAGACACTGCAAATCGGAGGGTAAACAACTCACAATCGCCAACTGGATCGTAAGAATAAGCCTGTTTTAAACTTCTCAAGTAGTTCTCATGAACTGCGTAGATAAATCATAAAAAAATTAACCCCCATTAAATCATTTTATAAATAAACTACTGATAAATGACTCCTCATCCCCC